TTGGTCCATGTGCCTTCTTCTTAAATTTAATAAATAAAAATTGTGGGGGTGAGTTGAGTTGAAGTGAGCATCAATTTGTGATTTATTTCGGAAATTTATTTATAATGTAAGAACTAATTAACCTAGTTAGGCATGAATTTACCTAGGAGATTAATTAAGTACATCAATATTTGTATTTACATAAATTCATAGATGCAAATTCATGAACACTTGTTAAACTTAGGGTCTGTTCTCTTCAGTTTATTTTCAGTTCAGTTCAGTTCAGTTCTTACTTAATTTCCTTATCTCATAAAATATTCAGTTCAATTCATTTCAGCTGTAAAGTTAAGTTCAACTCAGTGTTGTTAATCAGAAAAGACCCTTAAACCTTGTCTTGATTTTAGATATGTCAATCATATTTAAATTTTGTGCCTCTCCTTTTCCACTTTCTTTGTTTTCTCAGGACTTAGGAGGACTCATGGAGTCATGGCCACTCTACACTCAATCTCTATTTATTTACCCATAACTCTCCCTTTGACCTTCTTTTATATCACCAACCACCCACCTCACTACGACATCTCTCATTCGTCGATCTTGATGATGAGGTTATAATAAAATGTATTTCGTGTTAATAAGTACCACCTTTAATTGATTTTCTTTGTATTTCCTACAAATTGGATGAGATGTTGAAAATCTATTCCCGAACCTGGGAGCATTCCCTCCCCGACCCATATATAGGCCATCCATATATATATATATATATATCAAATAAAAAGCAACCATCCAACATGAAATCAATTTCAACATCAATGGACATTTCCATAAATGGAATTATCTTGTGTTATAACAATATTGGTAGTTGAAAAACCAAAAACAAAATAGAAAAAAGAAAAAGGGCAAAATGAAAAGCACGTGTGAGTCACAAGAGTCATGAGGATGAACTAACAACATAAATAAATTGGGTTGTAAAATATTGGTTTCATATGTTCTGCTTTTTGGCAACGGTGCCTTAAATTTGTGGGGGTTACAACTTATAAAACATGAAAATAAGGCTTTATATTAATTTTTGTCCTAATTTGTGATTGGTTACAGCTAGAATTTTGGGTATGACAAAATTATATGTAGTGGAATTTGCAGAAATTACGTGAGTGCATGACAAATAATTGCCAGCCTCAAATGTTTGTTTTTTTTGTTTCATGTTTTTGGCTTGTTTTTAATAATTCAAGACTGCTAGTTTGGTCTCTAATAATTGTTTGGTGTACTTTTTACCAAGTTTTTTTTTTTTTTTTTTTTTTTAATAAACATTCTTGTAAAATAAAGATCATATCATGTTTATATAATATAATCTATTATGTGCTCTTTCAATATTTTTGATACAATAAATTAATAGAGTGATATCGATCAATTATGAAGATATTATTGTTTCAACTTTCAAGTCTTCTAAATGCTTGTATTGCCTAATCGGGTGTTCTCTAAGGCTAATAAGAGTGTATTACATAATGCTTTTAGTTGATAAAAATAGGACAATAGCCTAAAAGTGGATTTAATTATTTAAATACTACAATACATGTGTTAGATTGGTATAAAAATAGCTAATTGAAAATTTGATGTCATGCAAAACATCCAATCATATGACATTATTATAGAAAAGCTTACAATTTTTCTTTTCATCCTTAGTTAAATAGCTAATACTAAGTATGATTCCGGTTTCAAAAAAAAAGTATGAATCCATCTATTTTGCAAGATAAAATTATTACTTTAAATAATTTTTAATAAGGAGCTCAAATTGTGTTTTCATACAACATTAGTGATTTGTCTAGGATAAAACAGGACATTCTAAAGACCGTTGCCGCCTTCCGGGGGTGTTGCTACTGACGAATGATTCATTCATGTTAGTGGTGATGCATGTTATCCGTGTTGATATGTAAGTCACTAGCCAGATTGCTAATTTGCTAGAATTTTGTTGCTAATGTTATGTTTTTCAAAACTCTAGTATAAAGGATACATTCATTGGACAAGCGCAGCAAAATCCCTAATAAACATTACTCTATATTAAGAAAAATAATGATTTGGTATGAAGTCTAAAAACCACATTTAATTTGCTAAGGGGGACTGAATTTGATTACAAGTGACCACAATTGGGCCAACAATTCCTAAAAATTAAAATCAATGATGCAGAATTAGCAGAAATGTACAAATGCAAATGTGCATTAGACAAAGGCCACATGCAAGTAATGTGCCATAATATATAAGGCCGGCCCAAACATTGCAATATGAACCATGAAAGTCTTGTCCATGTGATTAGCCAAAAAATAATCATGTTTTCATGTCCAAACAATATACATTCGTATTTAATATGATGTTTTCATGTGTAACATGTGTATGCGTTTAATAGTGTATAGTTGGTAGGATTTTCGCCTTATACAGTTGTAAATTTGTAATGGACTTTATGTGATAATCATTTTAAATATAAGCAGGAGTTCTATCTTTAAAAAGTAAGATACGTTATATCATATATCCTATCGTGGACTTAAGGAAAGACTTTTCTACGTATAGTTACTATTTTGAAAATACCATATTAAGCGTAATATCAACTTATTTTTTTAAGGCATGTTAAAACAAAGGACTTTACTTTCTTTTAAACTGTATTTATTTTTATTTATTTACGAGCAATTACTAGTATTTGTATTAGCCAATCCTCTCAAATATGTTTCTTATTGAACCCTTGAAGACTAAAGTACGTACTTTTAAAACGCTTAACTATTCAATGACATAATTAGGATCTCAGTTTAAGATTCAAAAGTTACAATGACATATCAATTGTTGAAATTGAAAACCATTCAAAATCCTTTTGGGCAACGGAAGACTAGAATTCCATCATTCCATGTAGTTGTATTCTTCCAACTTTAGGCTCGTTTGAAGTCAAACTGGTCAAATTAGTTATGCAGTATGTATCTTGCAATTTTGCAATTATTAAAAAAAAAAAAAAAAAAAAAAAAAAAAAAAAAAAAAACAACAACTTAGCTAAGTCTACCATATCTTAATTATCCTTCAGTTTTGAATTTAAAGTATTACTTTGATCGACATGTACATACTTTAGAATATCGACATGCATGTACTTGTAATAATTATAATAAGATACAAGTGGGGTAATTGAAATAGTTAAAATTGTAAGAAAATGCATATAGTGGACCATATAGTGAGGATTATTGTTTAGATATATTCAAAAATAGTATATCTTATGCTAGAGAAGATAACTAATACAAGTAAGAAGTAAAAATGTAAAACTGAAAACTATTGGAGTAAAAATCTACAATTATAACATTTAAATGTAGAATCTTACCATATATAAAATGGTAACACTTTGAAAATGAGTCAAATCAAAATTAGTTCAACCTAAGTTGGTTATGTACCTGTCAAAAAAAAAAAAAAAAAAAAAAAAAGTTGGTTATGTAGAACTAGTAGGAGGTAGGACATTGAAATAATTTTAAGCAAGGGAAAAGTTAAAAAGTTGCACTTTAATTTGTAGAAAGGGAAAGGGAAAGGGAAAGGGATGGCCAAGGAAGCAAAGAGATTGAAAGGAAAATTTTCTATTTATTTATTTATTCTCTTTAAAAGAACTAAAAGTAATGTTAGAATTAAAAGTTTTTTTTAATACTACGGAAAAGGAAAAAACGTAATACAAAAGGAAGAGGGTAAAACCGTTTTTTAAAATGGTTCCTTAGGAGAACACCATTAAGTTTGCGCTTTTTAAAGAAGTAGATTGAATAAACACCTTATATTCTTATTTCAAATGGAAAAAAAAAGTAGTCATAGTATCATATCATCATGCATGCTGACAAACTTAATTTCAAAAACTAAAAAGATCGAAATTATATAAAAATGATAATTATATCACTAATATATGAATAGTTAATGATAACATATTTTGCAATTATGAGTATTATGGACCCAATTGGTCTTGTATGGACCCGGTCTACAATAAATTATTGTGAACTCAAAATTTGACACTTTCAAATAATATAATCACATTGTGGATGATATAATCACTTTTTTAGACGATATAATTATCTTTTTGTGAGTCATATTTTGAATTATATAATCTCATATTAAACCATTTAATGATTTGAGATTATATAATTATCTTTAGGATGATAGAATTTTGTAGTAATATAATCACATTTCGTATGATATAATCACATTCGTATGGTATACTAGAAAGAGAGAAGTATTTTGATTTTTTTTTTATTATATCTTTAGTTTTTTTTTTTTTTTTTTTTTTTTTTTTTTTTTTTTACAAATTATGAAAAATGCTATGTTTTGAAAATAAAGATATATTATACAGAGTACATTACTAATCTTATACGGTAACAATTTATTTATTTTTTTGTTTAGAAATGATCGAAAATAAGTTTACTCTGGGCAGAATCCAATGAAGTTTCACACAAATCACACAAGTAAGAAGTAAAAAACGGGGGATTGAGAAGATCAAGAATAGAGCCAACATGCATGCAAGCAATATCATGGTCAAAATAATACTGCGTCAACTTTAGACACCAAATAATCATTTTCCACTATTACCTCTGGATTCTCTCCTTCTAAATTGGAGAATTATCTTTTTCCTTTTTCTATTTTTTGCACTCCTATTCATTTACTTGCAAAATAAATTCAAGTTTATAATATACACCGGATATTCAATGCAAGAGGATTTGTTTCCGCAACTATTTACTAACACATTCCTATTACTTATACATTTTTCTTATAAACGCCGATAATCAATATTTATAAATTATAAATAACATATCTCGCACATTAGCATATATATGATCTCCTCCGTAGATTTTATTCATAATTCATACTCCGTATAATTCCATTTATTCACCTAAAGAAAAAAAAGAGTGCAGTTAAAGTTTAGCTGTACTATAGTCATGGTCGAATTAAAAACACGATAACCCAAAACTGTAGTTAAAAAATTCAACAACTTGTATTAAATAGATATAATAACTTTATTATTAATTCTTATTCTTCATTTTTGGATTAATGAATCTTCTTATTGAGTAAATTTCCCCTCTTTTTTCTCTCTCCTCTGCAAATAATTTTCCCAAATTATCAAATATATTTCACTTTCCACCCTTCTTCTTCGACGACTAATCATCACTGTCGGCATCAACTTCACCAGCTTCTCCTCCTCTTTCTCTCTCCTCCATTGATACAAACCTTCACTTCAACGATTCAGGTCAGTTTTTGCTATTGTTTGCTTGATTCTTTAGGGTTCTTGTGATTTTACTGGACTTGTGTTTGAATCGAATTTGACTTCGTTTTTAGATCTAAGGTTTAGGTATTTGATCTTGTTTTTGAAGTTTAATTTGTGTTTGATCACTTTGTTATGTTTGATTTCAGTTTTAATTTGTTTTTGTGGTGAGTTTGATTATGAGTTTGACTATGTTGCAGTGATTGAATTGGAGAGAGATGGCGAATCGGAAAGAAGATGAGAAGAATGAGAAGATTATACGAGGTCTTCTGAAGCAACCTGGAAATCGCAAGTGTATTAATTGCAATACTTTGGTAATGTTTGATGTTATTTGAGTAGTGAAATTGCTTGAAATTGATACAGTTATATGTTTGGGAACTGTTTTTAAATGGATGAATGCTGATTGTTAATACTGTAGCAATTGTTTTGTTGTTCGAGCCGAAGAGGTTTAGGCTTTTGCATTGTTCTGATTAGCTAGGAAATTGAAAAATTGGCTACTTGTATCGATTGTTCTTAGGAAATTTAGTGTGGAGATTGATGTCTTTTGCATGCTGAGAGTTCCAATTAGCACTACGCGGCAAGAATGAGTAGTTACTTAGTTATTAGGCGCCTTTTACGGTTACGTACATGTATTAAGGACTTGCAAATCGTTGGTTTATTGTGTTGGTATATGAAACTAAGTGGATTATTTCGTTGGTATATTTTTGGTGAGTAGTGATAAAAGGATGGTTATGAGGATGGATGATAATGGGTGGAGGAAATAGGAGGTAACTGTATTTTCTATGAACTATCATATTCTTTATTTGGTAGTTCTGCAACATAGGATTGTTGGCATAATCTTTAGGTAACGACTTCATTAAATACAATTCTCGACATGCTTGGAAAGTTACTAGGAATTTCCCTTTGGATGGGGAGTGACATTACTTATTGATTTGTTATAGAAATCTCGTTGAATATGGAGTAGGGGAAGAGGGACTATCCTTTGAACTCCATAGTTCAAATTTAGCCCTTAAAATAGTAGTTGACGTGAGAATATATACTAACCTCTGATGATAAATGCTTAAGGCCAAACCAACATTTGTACATGATTGTAAGTTCTTTAAAATATAATACGAAGTATTTGTATATCTAGGTAGCAACTTATTACCTTATACATGACCTCTTTATTATTTAAGTTGTATTGGGGTCATTACTATCGTTGTGATCACATGTTAGATCTGTTGTGAACTGACCTCATGTATGACATGTTAAATTCTACATTATGGAAAGAACACAAATATGTGTCCTTGTCTTTGTACATCTTTGAATGTTTAGGTTGCTCTATATGGAGAGTGATTATGTGTTTTTTTTTTTCCATACGGGGGGATGTCCAGTTTCTTATAAGTAATATTTAGGAGTACTTATTTTAGTTTAGTTTCTATTATGATTCTTTGGGGGCTTTATCATACAATCGAATATTTGATAGTTTGAACACTAAATGGTTGGCAGGAGTGTAATTTTTGGCCTGTGTGTTCTGTGCACTTATGCCTCAACTTGACTTGTTTTCCTACTCAACTTTCACATTTATGTGTGCTTGTGAGGAATAACCTAGGATCTGGCTGTGTGATTCATTAGTGATGTGACTGCTGTCTACCTACCTTCTGTGTTCGCATCTTGTTATGTAATATTCTTTCCGTTTCATTGTTATGGTTACACTAACACATTTCATAAGAACTAAGGAAAAGATTGGAAAGTAAAAGAGAAAAGTGGAAGCATTTTGTAAAAAAGTTGATAATAAAGTAATGTAAGTATTTGTATGTTGTAAGAAAAAAAAAGTAATTTACGTAGTGAACTGTTGTAAGAAAAAGTTTTACAATGTATTGTGTACAATGTTGTAAGTAAAAGATGATAGCATAAGGTATTGGGAAAAAATGGAGAAGAAGTAATGTAATATTGTGGGTCATAATGTCAAATGTCGAAAAGCAGATAAAGTTAATTGTAACCATACGGGTAAATTAGAAATGATCCATATCTAAAAAAGGCGCACCTAGGTGTATGCGTTGCAGCAGTTTTTTTGGTACATATATGTACTACCTCCGTTACATTTTATGTGCAACGATTAGACATTTTTTCTCTCTACTTTATGTCAAATTGTTGCGAATAATATGTAACGGAGGTAGTATTTTTTTTTTTTTTAATTTTTGGGTCTAAGTAAGTGATCTTAGTGAGTCAAACAGCTTTTTTCCAAGATATGTTCCCACTTCATATTAAGTGTGTCTCTTTTCAATGAGGTGCAGGAAAATCGCTATTGCCTTGACCCTTGAGCATATTTATACATTGGTAATAGCTTAAAATAAACTCTATCCATCCATTATAATGTGTAACTGAGGGAGTATTAGGCAATCATCTACGGTATGCATAACCATTGGATTTGTTGCTACTTCTCCAAAGATTTTGGAGTTGAATTATATTCTGGTGCATGCTGGAATTCAATATTAACCATTGAGCCAAGATACTGTAAGATTCATTTTTATACTTCACATGCTTCTTATACCAAAGAAAGCAGGCTTCAAGATTATCTCTTTAAGTTTCTATCTGTTGGAGGTGTGCTCAGTTTGATTTGTTTCTCATTTTCAATTGGCTGTATTGGAATTGTGATTTTAATCATGTTCTTTTGATTATGTAAATTCTATGTATCTATAAAGATTTTCATCCAAGGAACAAACTTTTGTATGTGTAGTAATGTACTGATTTCTATTTTCCCACCAGGGTCCCCAATATGTTTGCATCACTTTCTCGACATTTGTTTGCACTACTTGTGGTGGGATTCAGTAAGTGCTCCTTTGTTCAGCAGTGATGCTTGGTTTATCTTCTCCATTTATGTATTTTTGCTCTTGTTGAGTCAAGAGGTGCAACAAGGGTGTTTTATTTATTCTGCCCAATGTAAAATTTTTTCAGCCGTGAATTCACACACCGAGTAAAGTCAGTATCAATGGCCAAATTTACACCGCAAGAAATTGCTGCACTTCAAGCTGGAGGAAATGAGGTATTTTTTTTTCTTCTCTCATGGATCATTTGAGGTTTCTCATGAGGTCCTTATACCACCTATTATCATCACAGCGGGCAAAGGAAATACACTTCAAAGAATGGGACACTCAGCGGCAAACTGCTCCTGATAGCAGGTGAGTTCTTATTGGTTTTACTGGACTGTGCAAGTGTAATCTTATTTGTGATCAATGCCATTTTTTGGGTGGGGGACGAGAAGTATTTGTTATACTATCTTCCTGGGTTGGCGATTGTCTCCACAGTGTTTACAGAGCTTCCACTTTTTTTTTTTTCCTAATGATCTATGAACCATAGTGGAAACAAAGAAATACTCCCTCTGTTCTTTCTGATAGTGCCTTCTATCCTCTGGTCCTCTAGGGATGGCCACGAATAGATCCTCTCACAAACAGTTTGGACTCATATTGCAAAGAAGCTTGACTTGTCTTGACTGGTTTTGTGAATGAGCAGGGCTTTAATTGAATATGATAGTTTGAGTTCGAAATGAGTTCAACTCAATATCACTTGAATTCTGCTTGTGAATATAAGAAACATAATACATATCTTCCAAATTTTGTGAGTTTGTTTCATGTCCTATACGGCTATGCCCCATTACCTCCAAAGCTTAAACTTATAAAGAAAAGGTAATTCTTAGCACAAGTTTCTCTAGTCAAACATTACCCTAGAGGGAAGGAGAAAAAGAAAATCACGTACTTTATTATATTATTTGAACATTGTTATCTTGCCAAGCTCAAACTCAATGAGATGATGCAAAACTTGAAAATTTTCTACTAGCAAAGCTCAAGCCTAGTCAATGTAGTTTGATTCGGCCAATTTTGGTGGTATTAATAAAATAAAAATCAGGTCATGCTGGAGTTTGACTCAGCTTGTGAGCAGTTCTAATGTTTTCTTTGCTATTTTGGTTTGTCCAATCTTATTGTCATCTTTCCTTGTTAAATGCATATTCTCACTTTCATCTTCTCCAGTTACATAATGCTGATACACGAATGGCTACATCCTATTAACTTCAACTCCTACTACTAGGACATTATCTTTGGAATGAAAGGACTGTTGCATGCTGAAAATAACAAGTTTTCACTATGTTTTTTTATTTTATTTTTTTATTTTTTATTTTTTTTTATCCTGGTCATTTCTTAATTTATGTTACTCCCTTGCAGCAACGTGGACAGACTTCGGGACTTTATCAAGCATGTGTATGTGGATAGGAGATATAGTGGTGAAAGGGGCAGTGACAGACCTCCTCGTGGAAAACTGGTTAGATTCTCTGACATGTTGACTAACATATTCTTGTAAATTTGGCTGGTCAGGGGTAGGATTAGCACTTTGTCTATCTTGATGTCTTGCCGGGTGGGATATTGGTCCCCTGGGGTGTTTTAGAAGATAAAAGATTGGCTTAGGTTAGGTGGTGTTTCTTTGAAGGAAGTCTGACAATAATTTTTGTAATATGTTGTTGCATTCCCTTGTGTATTGTTTAAATCTTGGTTTGTATGCCTCTTAGGGTGACAAAGAAGAACCAAATGAAAATAGGAGATCGGATGCATATCAGAGTGGATCTCGAAGCCCACCATACGATGATAGATATGAACGCCGTTCTAGTGGCAGGTCAAGTCCTGGCTATGATGCAAGAAGTCCAGGATATGATCAAGACAACCAGAGGCACAGTGACTATGGGAGAAGTCCTGTCCGCCCTGGGATTATCAATAATTGGCGACGGGAAGACAGGTTTTCCAATGGGAGGAAATCTGATGATCGTCATAGTTCTGATGGGGAGGGTAAGCCTGAAATCAAGTCGTCTGATAGCCAAAAGGATTCTGTTGTCCCCAGCCTTCCTGTTGTACGGCTTGTTGGGGAGATATTGGGGGATAATGTTGTACCTCTTCGCATTAGTGAGCCTCCAAGAGCCAATAGCGGCAGGGTTGTTGATGGCCCTAAAATTACCCAGGTGATGATACTATTGACATAATGTTGTACCTTTTCGCATTAGTGAGCTTCCAAGAGCCAATAACGGCTCACTTTGCATCTCTATACCTACCATACTGTATTGCTGCAACCAATGTATACTGAACACCTTTAATAATCTGTTTTGCAGAGAACTGCCTCTTCTAGTAGTTTGGCATCCAGCAATGGAAATCCCGTAGAACCTAAAAAGGAAACATCATTGATTGATTTTGATGCTGAGCCAGAACCGCCCGTGACTGCTGCTGCAACACAAGCTCAGCTATCAACTGCTGATCAATCGGTTGTCCAGCCAACAAGTACTCAAAATGATAATGATTGGGCTTGTTTCGACAGTGCTCCGGTGGATAAGGTGTCTCAAGCACCTCAAAGTACGAATCCACTGGACTCTCTTACGTTGTTGTCGGTTCCAATTCCTGGCCATTCATCTGGATCCACTAGTAGCAATGCTGCTCCCATGCCTTCAAATGGCGTGTTCCCATCATCGACTAGTGGCGATTTGCTTTTTGCTTCTGTGGGTAGTACACCAACAGATGCATTCCCTGGGGCTGCTCCTGCATCCTCACCATTGACCACTTTGTCATCTTTCCCATCTGGAGGTGCTGTGGCTGGTTCTAACTTGCCACCAACATTGCCCTCAAATGGTGGTAATTATCAGCAGTATGGGATACAGCATCAGCAACAGGCTTTCACCCATAATGCTGGAGGTCAGCCTGCTGCAGCACAATTGGCTTCAGGTTTTCCTAATGGTTTTAGTAGTCAGGTAACATTGACTACAAATCCTAACCTTTTCACTGTAAAGATGCTGAGGTCGTGTTGTTGACATTTTGCCTTAATTACTCAGGGTGTGGCTGGCAATCGTGCTGCACAACCTTCTCAAGTTATTGCAACTCTTCAGTCACAAACAGTTGAAGTTAAACCCAATGATAGAAGAGAACTTCCTGCGGTATAGATGTGCTTGCTTTTTATGATCTTTTTAATGTTCAGTAGTAGATTATCTCATAATGCCTTCTTAAATTCTCCACAGGATCTCTTTACTGCTACATACTCGTTTGCACCTTATCAAGCTCCTGGTTGGCGACCTGGTGTCAGTGGTATGTATCCTGGCATGCAATATCCGATGCAGTATAACCCAGCAATGGTATGTCAAACCCATATATTTGAATTACTCTTTTTATAGGTTTTACTAAACAAACATATGCTTTCATGTGCTTACAAATATGCTAATTTGGTACGTGCATGTTGCAGTCTATGCCAACATTTCCGCAGCCAACATTTCCGCAGCAAACATTTCCGCAGCCAAACAAATCATCTAATCCTTTTGATGCTGAAGGATCTTCTGGGCAACCTGCAGCGGTAGGCCATTAAATTACTTTGAACTAACTATTCTTTGTGTGCATTTAGGTCAAACTGTGGAAATAAAATTAAAAATAAAGAAATGAGTAAATAAAATGAAATTGTGGAAAGATTCAGGTTTAGGGTGGACATTAGTAAAAGTAGATATAGTCACCTGTAGTTTTTGTATTCTGTTTTCCAGAGAGTCACAGAAGGCAATTATTATTCATCAAAATGGATTGAGTATCCAAGTCTTGAGAATGACTACCTGAAAATCTTACCATCTAAAGTAGCCGACTTTTGTTGAGTGATACTTCATGTATGTTTTATATGCTATGTTATAAAATAGTCGCATATACTATGGTATGATGTTTATCACCTTTCTTAATTAGTAATGCTTTATGATCGGAATTTTTCATTTTTCCCAACTATACTATAATTGATAGGGTGAGGACGGGGTCTGTACTCATTTATTGAGTTCATAGTGAAATCATGTTACATTCTTATGTACGAGGGCTTGAAATGATGTGATTATCATGTCCAAATCAAGGAAGTGATAATTTTGAGAGGGATATATTGCCTTCGTGAACCTTTTTTGACCTTACTATCCATACGTCTATGTGTGTGTGTGTGTGTGTGTGTTTTAAAACTCTTCACATAAATTCAAAACTGGTTATAAAATTACTCTCAGAAGTACAGGAAAGTACTCATAAGCTAATATAGAAGTTCAGATGAATTTAGATAAACTTGAAATTTTTTGGGTGAAGCAGATGAGCTTTAATCAAAGGTTAACTATGGAGATTTGTATCCCTTGTAGTTGTGGTTCTTATGAAATCACTGCAATCTCACAACCCAGTTTATGAAATCACTGCAATCCCTTGTAGTGGGCATCAAGGACAACTTTGTTAATTATCATCCTTGCATACACAAAAGCTTTCTGGCACTAACATTGTGGAATTGTTGATTTCCGGTTCCCCACTTCTAACAAGTACGGTCATCCTATTTAAATTTTTTGCCAGTACCCTCTTAGGGTGGGAAGTGGGGACGGTTAAGCATTTAACTTGTAACTATGTTGATGATTCCTAAAAATATTCTTTTTTGTTGTGGGGCCTCAAGCAAAGGTCCTATATACCCATGATGATATTACCAAATTGTTGCTGTTTAGACAATTTAGTTGCCTCTCGGTCAATCTTTTTGTCGATTGACTGATCTGTCTGTAAAGTTGACTCACCTTTAAGGTTTTAGTTCTATTGAATGAAAAGTCTTTTCTAATATAAACTAGGCCCCTGTGACACTGCTATGTTTTTCATTACTATTCGTAGGCTTTTTGTGCAATCAAATTGTTCAAATTGGGTTGGTTGTTGCCGTTAGTTACTATACACACTTTGTGTCTGACCTGTAGCCATGAAGAGGTGCTAGAATAGTGGAATGTATTGCTGACTGTTGTAAATATTTTATTTACACAGTAAATGCATTAAAAATCAAGATAGGAAAAAGTCTAATCTGAGTTTTACATGTGGCTTTAAACTGGAGGATGTAATTTTGTATTGAAAATTTTAAACCCTAAACAAATGCTTTGATGCAGTTCCCTTCTATGTCAACTTTGCATGCTGCTCTTCCCAATGCAGCGGCTCCAGGAGGCGTAGTGCATCCTTCCAACATCGGTACTGCTATGCCTTATGGATCAGCCATGCCAGGTGCTAATTCGATTCCTCCTCAGACGTCAACAGTGCATCCAGCTGCACCATCTCTCGGATCAGCCATGCCAGGCGGTAATTTAATGCAACCTCCAGTCTTCCAGCCATAATCTAAATTGTCTTTGTTTTTCAAATGGAACAGAGTTACTTTACTGTTGCTTTAGAAAGTGGGTCGTTGTGGACATAGGGAGGCCCAATGTGCTTTGTTTTAGCTTCTAACATTTGCTTTATATTGCCAGGAACATACATGGGCCAGCAATTACCCCCTAACATGGCATCATCCAGGTGAATACTTATATCAGACCTTAAAATTATGTTAATGCTCAATATCGTATTTCCTGAATGAGTAGATTTATGCAAATTAATTATTAATATGACATCAAGATTTCAGTTTGAGCATCACTTTATGGTTGTCTATAGTTATTAGAAGTATATGAAATCTAGTGTAGATTGTAGCTTGAATTCCTATACAATTTTCGATTTCCTTTCCTATAAAACACATTGCATTCATTGAAATTGGAGTTAATTATGCAGGCCTCAGGGATTTGGTAGCTTTGGTAATGAAGTTCCTGCTTTTGCCTCATTGAATCCGGCTGCTGCCATGCCAAACCCTTCCCTTGGTGGGAACCCATTTGGCTGAAAAGCAAAAACCCGTCTTGCTGCACCCCCTTAAACAATTCTTTTGTGGCAACGCTAAGTCCTTGTGTAGAGTAGATACATCAATACTCCACCTCAAATAGGAAGTTTTGAGGTCTTGGGGCGTAGGTTCATTTGCCTTGTTCCCATGTAAAGATATTTTGCACCTGTATGTAGAATACATCCAGAGAATATGAAGAGACAAAGAGTAAATCTTGTGATTTAAAAGAAGCATGAAAGACTGCGGAATTGCCATATTTACCATTTTTGGAGTCTCGTTCATTTAGATGATGGATTAGCCTTTGGCAATTGCTCTAAGCTTCTGCACTCTAAGTTGTAACAATTTTTTTTTAATCTTATTGTAACCTAGTTTGGAGTCTACTGCTTTTATACCGGTAAGCGGCATCCATTTGTGAAAAATATATTTTAGTTGGCTTGTTAGAACTCTTTTTGTATCCCTTTTAAATTTTTTATTTTTTTTTTCCAATTTATTTATGTGAATATAGATGTTTTGTTTGAATAAATATCTTGCATATCATTATATGAGACTTTCTGGTTGTGTTCCATTTTGAAGCATCTGAATATTACGTGCAATAACCACATACAAGTATTTCTTAATTCTTACTTATATTAGCCACACCTTTTCTAAATTTTTCTTTTTCTTTTATTCTTTTTGTGTTAAAATTTGATTGAATATCGTAGACTTGTAGTATCTCTAGATAAATTATTCTCCACTAGAACAGTCTTTAAAGGTTGAAGTTGAAGGTTACCTGAGTTGGTTAGACTCTTGCCATCCACCCAGTGGCAAAGGTTTAAAACTTTTTTTTTTTTTTTTTTTTTTTTTTTTTTTTTTTTTTTTTGTGAGCAAGGTTTAAACTATATATATGGGAAGGGAAGGAATTGTTGGCTGGTTGCAGTCGGTATCGACTGGACCGAGGGTTTCCTTGCAATACGACGACCCCAAGCCCTGACCTTTGTTATAGGCTCACAGTGTTATTATGTAGTCTCGTAGAATAAATACTCTACCAGCCCCATAACGATGGTTGAATCCTTAAGAGTTATCCGCCTCAGAAATTGTTCGTGTTCAGGGACGTCAATGAGCCAATGTTTTCGTGAACAGCTTGATCGAAGTTTGGTTTGGTTTTGCTCATTGACATCCATATTTGTGCTCAAACGATAGCAGGAATGTGACCATCTTTATTTTTTTTAACAGAAAGAGCAAGACAGAACAAGGACTAAAAAGAGTATTAACCGCTTCAGCCTTTCCTGCAAATTCATGGACTAACATTATTTTCTTCGCTAACAAATATCAGCGAGCAAAAGAAGAAAGAGCTTCCTATTGTTCTAACATCATTTTGCAGTGAGGAGATGTCATGCGATCCCAACGCTCTAGACTTAACTAAGTTGCACTCTTGCAGATCTTTTCTGAATCAGTTAAGATTGAAATCTGCTCATTATTCCATGTTGTAATATAAGAAGTATTTTCAAGGCTATACTCTAAAACAAGAAGATCGAAAAGATGATCTTGAGACAATGAAAGAGTACGGTGTGTCGTGATGCAAATCACTGACTTGAAAACGAAATTCCGGCGCAACCGGGGTGCATTATTGTATTCGCCGGCACGTTTCCTAAGGTTAACACACCACTCCACACAAAGGCACTTTTGGGTGGAAGGCTGGAGCCAAGTAACTTATGCCCAATATAGAGTATGTGTTTAAGCAAACTTGTGTTTGATAAGTATTTCTTGTATATCTCAAAATCAGAAAACATCCTCCAATTTATAAAGATGAATAAAGAAGATGAAAGATCACGGAGGAATCTTCTATGAACCAAAAAAAAAAATCAGAAATATTATGGTGATTAAAAACACCATAATCAACCTCTTAAATGGGGGGTTACAAGAAATCAAACAAGAAGAGGAATCTAAGGGAACCGTTGGAGTCCAACGGACAAACACGCGCCCGATCGGGCGGAGCTCGCCCGATTGGGCGGGCACTCCCTTTTTCCGGACGTCTTCTCGCGCCCGGTCGGGCAGGGCTTGCCCCATCGGGCGGCAGAACTCCAGAATTTTACGACTCTTCTCGCGCCCGATCGGGCGGGTCTCGCTCGGTCGGGCGCCTGATCGGGCGCCCATATCTAACCCTTTGAATTTCCTTTCTTTATTTCCAACATTCCTCGCCTTTCTCTTCCATTACGCCCTTCGGAATCACACATCCTTCCGTATGCAGGGGATAAACAGCTGAGATTTCTCATTACTGAAGTCTTTCGAAAATTTTATTGTCACTACTGATCTTTGGTTTGTTCCCCGGCTTGCTTGATGACTTTGAGAGATCTTGCACCTCCTAACCATCTTTAAATCATTAATGCTTATTTTGGTATGCGCATCCTCGGTTTCTTGAATCAGACTTACATGTATTCTCATCCCATACTAGAAAATCTAAGCTTCTAAAAGAAAAGGAGATCAAAATTGTTTTGGTAACACCTAACACTAAATGTATATTTTTCTTTCATCTCTAAATAAGAATAAATATAGCACCCTATGTACAAATGAATATTGTGATATCACAAAAATCATCAGGAAACCCTTTTGTAGAATTGTAGTTGTACTAGAGTCATTTCATCAGTCACAAGGAGAGTACAAATTATTGATACTGTATAGTTGTATGTATACCGAGTCAATCGGGTCGGGTAATTTTGAACACCCCCACGAGCTGTATATATACCAATTGCCAACACAAATAGTCAAATTCCTCCAGAATTCTGATATTTGTCTTTTCTTCTCTTGTCATTGTCAAATGAAGACAGCTTTAGATGGGCAGATCTTGTCTTGATAAAGAATAAATAAGGCTGTTTTTTTGTTCAGGGGAATTCATCTGCTTGTCTGCTCTTTAGTATTACTGGTGCTACAAGCATCCATACTGCATCAAAAACATGATTTTTAATTTTTAAATTTTGTAAGAATATTTATACGTAGTATTTTTTTGGAAAAAGAATTATTTAAAACACAGAAATTAAGACAATGCCAAGGGTTCTGCTGTTCTGATACTTACTGTATACACAAGCTGCTATCCATTCATTCACTACTCTGACCCAAGTGCTTGTCCAACCTACATCAATTGTCCACCTGCAAAACAAGCATTAGTCTCTTTTGAAATTTGAACAATGGTTTGATTCCGGACCTGTTTGTCTTAAGTGAGACGCGCAATAAGTCATGACTTAACCGTTAAACAAGTCATCTTTTTACATCCTAAAAAAAGATTTATGTCGCATGAAATTACGTTTATAAAAATTGTTATGGCAAGTCCGCCCTCATAAAATTACACCCATCGTTTGTCCTACTAAGGTAGGTTTTGTAACAAATGAGATGTATAAAGCTTACTTGTAATATCATTAAGGTCAATCAAATGTCACTACAAACTCTTTTTACTTATTTGTTTCCAATTCAAGATCAAAGTATTGTTGATTGCAAGTTATTGTAAGAAAACAACTTAAAGAAAAACTACATTATAAAAATAAAATAACCGAAGAAAACTTACTTCTTCATTGCATGATGTGTATTCCAACCGATGAGCAACATTGCAAAGTACATGGCTCCAGTCGCAAAAACAAAATGGAAGAAACCATAACCATATGGAATACCATCGTCGTCTGGTTGTTTATCTTTTTTCTTGAACTGCATATGTTCATTATTGTTTTGTTACTTTCAAGTTAATAGCTATTGATTCCGGCTAATTAAGGGAAAATGAGAGAAGATAATGACCTGAAAGCATTGGGAATCAATGCCTGTTGAAAAGGTTGCGATCACTATGGTGAGTAGTGCAACAACAAAGCTCTGCATGAACAAACAAAACTTAGTATTGTTTTCTTTAATTTTGAGTTTATAACTCGCAGTTTTTATTCTGAAATTGTCATTTAGAGATGTCAAGAATTTCTTGATAACTTACAATGATGGTAAGCCAGTCAGTTTGATTTGAACCTTCCGACCTCTTGTTGCATTTCGTTCCTGGAGGCTCACTGTAAACAAAACAATGTAATTGTGTAAGAACAAGAGTTTTAAGCACAAGTTTGGTAATCAGAAGTAACCTATATACTAAGATATCGGGCTTGCCTTCGGATTGCACCCCAGCATAGATACACAATGTAAAGTCCCATTAACCCAGGAGTCAGATATCCAGCACTGATCTGCAGAATTTGGAAATAAGCTATGATATTAGATGCATTAGATATTTTATTACTGTATCCAAGCATTAGTTATTCTTTATCTGAATAACTTACTCTAGGTTGCATGGAGACGCTTGTCATCAACTGCAGAAGTACGAGAGTCCAAGTGATGAAAAAAATGTTTTGGAGACATGATGTTTCTGGTGCATACCAGATGTACATCAAAATTATCCCAACTATGCTTAGAACATACGCGGTGGTGGCAGTAAACATCATATGGACACGGCTGCAAAAGCAAGCATATATGTTAAAAAATATTTCTTCAATGCCACCAGGAAGCTAAGGAGTGCATTTTTTAAATTGACAGGATTTTCGTTTTTGTTCCTCCAGGGGAGATTACTAACACTCCCCTTTGTCATTCCCCCCAGTGTAGGATCACAGATCAAAACGATCTTGTGGTCATATTAAGAACAATCTAATGATCTCTACTTGTTATATGAGGACAAAAGATCAAAAAAATCGTACTCACCATCTATCTGCATACTTCTCTGACTGGCAACTATCATTCAGCCAGAAAATGAAACTAATCACACTTACAAGCTGAATTAAGAGAAAGATCCTGTAAGAACATAAAGAAAAGTGTAAGGAAAGTTCAATAAAAATATTTCAATACACAAATTACTTATACAGGCACAAGATATATACCCAGCACCAAAATGCGCGATCTCTCCTGCATACAGAAAAAAAAATGATAAGTTTTTGGCAAAAAGAGTACATAGATGTGAATTGTGAAAACAAGGTAGTTCAAAAGTTATTTGAGAGCACTGACCATACATCTCAACGATTGGGGTTGGAAGGAGAAATGGAATCATCATAAGCACAAAAAACATGCTAGATTTAGCAGACCACCAGCCTGAATGCCAAGTATCTCTTTGATCATGCACTTTTGAGGTACCGACAGTGGATAGGAACATTGCGAAGAAAAACAACTAATTTGTGGTTAAGGAAAACAATAGTTTAGACAAACTCAAAGCAATAAGAAAGAACATTCTCAAATTCTACATAATTTTTAAGAAGCTAAAGAGGTTGATTAGGATACAAAACATCCCATGCTCACGCGCAATACTCCTTCAGTGCCCAAGCAGTCTGTACCGGCTTTGCATCCTCTCAATCCTGTGTACACATAAAGGTTAAAGGATTAGAAAATTTCTTGGTATGAAGTTTGAAGATCACATATGTCTTCAGCTATTTCATGACATTTCAATTGAAAGAGTAACTGAATGTAAAAGTAAGTTCACACAAGGGCCAAAATGTTTAGATAAGGCCTAGCCAAGTTTGATATACAAAGTTAATCTAATTCAGATAAAATTCAGATGAATAGAATGAAGTCATAAATAGTTTTCATACAAGCCAGCATGTTTGCGCGTTCAGATGAATTGATTATTGTTTATAGCTCGAATTTATGCTTTTACATAAGATTTTATTGGACATTCTTAATGTAAATCGATATACTATTAGTGTTTGAGGTGAATAAAAGGGGCAAATTATGCTGCTAGTTGAACTTGGACACAAATTGACTCCCCTAATAATGAAGAAAAAAGAAAGGATCAAAAGAATGACTTACTTGCCATCTCTTTCATTGCACCTTTGCCATAATCTCGAACAGCCCATGCTAGAAAATTTGTAATGAGGAAAATGAATCCATATACATATCTAGCCATCCATGGATTACAACCATAACGAAATTGGGCAAACCAAGACCCGTCTTTGATTACTCCCGGATACTTTTCCTTCACGGTGATGATGGCGGTGGTGGTGGGGGTGGCGGTGGCAGTGCTCGTGCTCATACCACTCTCCATATCCATTGCAATTGCAACAATTCCTTCACATCTGATATTTCATCGAGGCAAGAAATAAGACTCGAATATATTCCTCCACAACACCCCTTCTCTTGATCTAGCAAATCGAATGAGGTTCATAATTAATGTTACCTAAAACATAGAATTTCCTTACAAACATACACAATAAAGAGCCTAATTAATGACAAATTATTACATCAAACTAGTACAATAAGACGAAAATCAAGACTCATTGAACAATATTCTTAAGCCCTAGCTTACCTAAGAGCATATCATGCATATCATCAACATGATCATAAAAGTCTCACACAAAACATTGTTATATAACAAATTTCACAAGAAAAAATACATTTGGCATGCAAGAATAGTTTCCTAGTTGATAAAGCTTTTATCCTACACCACTATTTTCATGTAGTTGCTTACTTTATAAGGCACTTCCAATGACTTCCCTAAATTGGGTGAGATGCTTTCAAGGAACACCTTCTAAAACTAATAATTTCATGGGTTTACTAATTCATCTTCAAACATTATTAGTGTGATAAAAATTATTCCCTTTAAATCACATTTCACTACATCAACATATGTTAGCCATTTTCATAACAAAAAACAAAAACAGTAAAATTTCTTCCCAATTTACCTGGAGAGAAAATCTACTGTAACAAATTTTATGATTCAAAAGATATTTTAGATTCTTTTTTTGTCATTTCTATCAACATTATTATTATTAAAAAAAAAAATAGAATCTAAAAAAACAGATGGCAAGCCAACTTTACCCCAAAATCAGTAAAACCCAAAACACCCAGAAAGGTATCAGATCATATTAGCACAAAATAATACCATAATTCTTACTCAAAACAAGATTAAACATCATAATCATAAATACTTAAAAACCCAAAACCCAGAAACAGAGTAACTTCATGAATGCAACATGCATTGCAAATTAAACAAAAATTAAACTACCCAGAAGCAAAAATGTGGTAATTAACATGAAAATTAAGTAAACTTACAAAAAATGAAGTAAATTACAATTGGGTATTACCAGAAATCAAGAATTGCAATGTGAGGAGAGAGAATGAGCCATTCAGAAAACAGAGATCTATGCAGTACTTCTGTAAAAGTATCTTCAAGATTCAACCTTTTTCAGCTCATTCAGCTCAATTTATTTATCTCTTTTTCACTTTCGGCGATTAAGACAATTTGGTAATCTGGGGTAAAAAAAATGAGGAGAGAGAAAGTGTGAAAGATCAAGTTATAAGTAAGTTTTCTCTGTTTCTGTTTATGATTTTGTTTCTGCAAATTCTTTTTATATATAGGCTAGCTTTATTGAATTGAGTAGCTTTTATTTTAACTTTATTTTTTTGCTTTTATTTATTTATTTAATTAGTTAATTACAGATTCTTATATGTGACCGGTCATCATGAGAATTACTTGGTCAATGTTATTAAAATTACGTTGTTAGTGTTAATGAGGTTACTTGATTAGTGTTGTAGAGATTACTTTGTTAGTGTTAATAGGATTTCCCGATCAGTGTTATAATGAATATTCAGTTTTTTTTTTTTTGACAAATAATACTCAGTTAATATTACAGTGGTTATTCAGTTAATATTACAAATTTACAGGGGTTTTACTCGATTAGTGTCATAGAAGTTATTTGTTATTTTACAAACGATCCGCTATACACAAAATACAATGCTAATTATTTTATTTTATAAATTAATTATTGTTTTTCCCGCCGTAGCATCAACTAAAGATTTGAGCCTTTTAGGCAATTGAATGTGATTGTACGAAACGGCATCGTATTTGAAGTTGGAGTGACGAAAGTCCATTCAAAATGGGTTGTTATTTTTATTTTTGGGGCACTTGTCTTTAAATCAAAAGAGTTGCCCACTAAAAAGAAGATGCAATAGTACCAAATAAAAGAGGGCATTTTAGAGTTCTCTTGTGGCCAATTTTTTTCTCATATTATTACACCTTTATTTTATGTCATATTATATGGTGAAGAGTTGTGATAAGTTGGAATAGTTTCACATACCAAATTATTTAAAATGGAGGTCTCTAGATAAGAAGATGATGAGAGATGCACTTGCTTTTTAATTTGTGGATTGGAATTTTTATTTGGAATAGTTGATGTGTATCTAGATCAAGTAGGTTGAATGTATAAAGAGAATAGTATGTTGGTGGATTTGAGTATATTGACCATATACGTGTTTGATAGGGTTCATATATTAACATTGTTTTTAAATAATCATCCGTCCACTTATATTGTGATAAATATGGAATATAATGAGCTTTTATGAAACGAGTATCAATTCACTTATATTTCTTTTTTCTAAAGAGTGCGGGATACCTCAACTGGTTAGACATTTAGACTTCCTATCGGTTTTAAGTCTAGGAATTGATTCTCACCCCGCCTTTTTGTTTCTCTAAACACCAAAAAATAATTATTTTTTCTAAAATATTATTTAAAATTTATTTATAATTAGTATACTTTTTTTTTTTGACGGGTAGTATACGTTATCCTATTTGAAAACATCTATGTATATATTTTCTTGTTACTTATATAGAAAATGCATAACTATATGTATGAACACTAGCAATGAAGTGAAAACATAAAAATTTTCATCCCAATATTGACAAAGAAGCCTAAGAGAACGGTTTAACTAATATATAATATGTTTACTTAAACTTATACAGAGTATTATGTAAACTTATATAATAAGGACTTTCATAATCTCATCTTAACTTATTCATTGTCATTGTGTACTTAAAAAAAAAAAAGAGAATAATACACTTTAACTACTAATGAGCTAGAATTAAGGGATTTGATTTAGGTGTTACATCAACATTCCACTCTTTTTTCTCTTAAGATTATTTAACAATTGTAAGCTTAAAAAAACATATCTAAAACCTTAGAAATTTGTGAATTGTTTGTGAGTAGATGCACTAATAAGCACTTAGTATTAATAGTACGTGAATGTTGTTCACACTAATATAAACTATATCCATGTATGTCTAGAAAGTAACTTGCTATTCAATTAAGTGTAAGGTGATTACAGACATAATGATAGATTATGTGAAAGAAACGAAACCGCCTAATTAGATTAAACAAGTTAATTAGTCAACGTGTTCTTTTCCTGTTCCCTCACTAGCTAAGTGCAATAACAAAATTAATACAGATCTAGATGCATGTTGAACACTTGAGAAAGAGAAGAGAATGGTTATATACGAGGTATATTCTTTTAGCTTTATACAAATAACTACTTATTCTATATAACTTTGTGTATATATATTATTATGTTAAAATCGAGTTTAAACAGGTCCAAATATACAACACACTAGTTGTAGCCCTAATGTTAAGACGCTGGGTATGTTTATATGGTATAACTTAACCCAGCGTATAGATTACAATAATGCAAATCCGTGCATAACTGAAAGTTTAACTGGCTAATACAAGAGGGGGGGTGAATTGTATTTGAGGTGAAATCTAAAAACTTTTGCGGAATTTAACTAAATGAAATAATGACGAGAGAAGATATAGACTTTTCTAAATTTCCACTATGTAATCAAACTCTTTACAAGTGAAGATTCAAACCCGTTAACAAGTTCCACAAATTAGGAACTTGTTCCCAACTCTCACAGAAGACTTCAGCAGCGAAGCTTCCTTGACCTCACCTTACACAAACTCACAATCCCAACCCCAAAGTACTTGAATACAATCTGTGATTACAAATACCTATTGCACTCAAGAATATAAGAAGGATAATAACTCTCTTTATGTTATTAGATGGCTACTGGAATTTTTATGCTCAAGAGTTATGTTTTGCTGAGATAGTTTGCATGAGTATTTATAGAGAAGGCTTAGTCATTAACCTCCACTATAATTCCGTCCACATGCCAACACCCCACTAACAACTTGTGGAGTTATCTTGACAGATGGTGATCATGAAGGAGGTTTCCTAGCCTTATCTCACTAATCCACTATCTCAACAACTTGATAAACATTAGCCGTATAATCAGAGATTTTCACACAGAAAAACTGCTTGCTAACTTTATCAAAAATTTGTTTAAAAAGATTATCAAAAGTTTGTTTAAAAAGATTTTATTTGAAAATATAAATTAATTATTTATATTAAAACAACAAGATAATTATCTTTATTCGAAAATAGATGACTAAATACAACTTTTATAAATTATCTTTTCTTTAAGAAATTATCTTTTAAAACTAACTTTTATTCCAGTAGTTTTTTTAATAACATAAGTCATTGAGTTCCTTTCCGGCTTTATATTATTGAGTGCTCACAATTAAAACTAGAACGTGAGATTTGCATGAGGCTTTTTAGTGAATGCTACTCCACATCCAAGTTCCTACTCCGGAACGAACTTTGCTTGAACCCTTTATTCACCAAAGACTCAAAACATTCATTAGTCGAGTTTGTCAATTTGTCCATCAAAACCAAAAGGCTCAACAAATTCCCCCTTTTTGATGATGACAAACATTGACAAACTTAGGTAAATAAAATCATCCAGGCATGCAACAAAAATTTAAAGCAAGACATGAAAACAAAAAAACAGAGTAATTAAAGAACTTAGAAAAATACTAAAAAGTGTTTATTTTAAAAAGATTAAGCAAAAGAAAAATTAACAAAGACTTTAAAAACTTAGATTACTAGGACTTTATTGAGTTAACTGAACTTAGCAAAAGTTTGTACCTTCGATGTGTGAGTTCCTTGGTAAACACCTTAGCCGCCATGAAGTTTGTCTTTTCCCCCTTTTGGCATTATCAAAAGATTGAAAAAAAACATTTTGCTATACTCCCACTAGACTACGTAGGGAATAGTGAGCTCAAATAATGCAAGGCAAAAATAAGTTAGGTACTAAATTATCAGCAAACACACACAATCATATGAAAAATACGAGCCAAGTTCCGATTTAGGAAATAGAAAAGGAACATAGAGAATGTAGCAAAGGATAAAGGCGTACAAACCAAAGTTCAGAGAGATTAAACAAAACCAAAATAAAATTGTTCAACATATGAAATTAGAATAAGTGCAATCAAGGATTTAAGAGGCTGCATTGGTAGGATCAAGGGTTGGATTTGTGGGATCAATAGAGTCTTCCTCGACTTCCTCAAAGGCTACTTTGTTGATAGTTTCCAAGATCTCCTTGTTGCCTTCACTAAACTTGCCTTCAGCCTGTGCAAGCTTTGCCTCCACGCCTGCAAATCCGGTTGCTTGAGATTCTGCCAGAGCCTGCACCTGGCCTTTAAGAGAGAGCAGTTCCGAGGCCATTTCCTCCAGTTTCTTGCTCACCAGAGTAGTCAACTTTTCCATATCTGCTTTAACCTGTTGAAAATCATAAACAGACACACGAGTTCCAGAGAAAGCAGCAAAGCCAGTAGGCTGAAATGGAGGAGGAGAAGGTGAATGAGGAGGCTGCCTAGTAGATGAGACAGGAATAGAAGAGGGTTCAATGGCAAAGGGGACTTGGGTAGGTTTGAAGGTGGGATCAGATTTGTCTGAGGAGCTGATGGTTTCTACAGTCACAGGGTGTGTAGTAGAAAGGGCAGGCTTGACCACATTCCTCTTACTTCTTCTAAGGCCCCCTGTAAACACAGGAATGACAGGTGGTCCAGCTGTGCTCTCAGAGTCTGTGGTATGTTCCCCCTCACTTTGATCAGTTCCCTGCCCCTCATGTGAGTCAGATTTTCGAGCTTCCCCCTCAGAAACTTCCTTATGTTCCCCCTCAGAATCTTCCTGTTTTTCTCCTTGCACATCTCCCTCAAGTATTTTTTCTTTGTTTTTCTCTCCGTTAGAACTTTTTTCTTCTTCCTTATCTCCCTCAGAATCACTGGAGGTGGTAGCACCCTCACTAGCAACCTCACTACCCTGGTCACTGCCCTCCTCATCACTTGCATCACATTCTTCCTCAGCTTCTTTCCCTTTCCCTTTCTTTTTCTCCCCCCCTTTCCGAGGCACAAAACATACTTTGCCATTTGTAAGCCTAAGACTCAGTCTAAGTAATGATTGTTCAGAGAGGATATTATCGGGTTTGAGATATGTTGGGGATTCACATTCAACATCAATACCAAAAGATTTGACCAACACAGTAAGGAAAGAGCCATATGGAATTGTGGTCTTTTGAGCATAAAAATTCAAGTGTTCAATCATTAGAGCAGGGAAATTAATCTGTATTTTGCATGCAAGACAGAATATGAGGGAGGCATCCAAGAGTGATACAGTACTCCGTTTTTGTAAACGGGGTACTATACCCTTCCAGGTGAAGGTAAACAGTAGCTTATGAAGGGGTGTTAGGGCATGATGGTGAGTAGTTTTCACTTTCGGATTTCCTCCAATAAATTGAAGGATTTTGCATTCATCATTATGGCCAATATTTACAGATTGTTTGTGCTTTAAATAAGAACAATAGCCTTTAACAGGAACTTGAAATAGATTTCCAAGATAATTGGCATCAAACGAAATTGGAATATCATTAACTACGG